GCAATAATTGTTACGGTTTTGTTAATTTTTAATAAACTGACGTTGTCGCAGTAAATTCTGAACGATGAAAATTAGAGAACTCTCTGTCTGATTCTGACACAGTTGAAAGAGTTAACGAAGAAAAGCGTAGCGCGTGGATTTAGGCCGCGCGAGTTTGCTACTCACCGTGGACATCCAGATGGAACCAGGTGCCGTTCTTGAGGTTCTTCGGCGACCTGTTGAGGAAGTCGACCTTGCACTCGTACCATCCTTGATCGCTCTCGCGGATGTCGGTCAGATTGAGGCTCGCCAGTCCGTACGGCGAATTCGGGCTCACCCTCGAGACTCGGCCTTTGTAACCCTCGCCGCTGTGGGTCGGATACGACTCGTACCATATGTATATCGGTGTCTCCTGTCCCTTGCACCAACACCAATACGCAACATAAACGAGGGATCGCCGTGTACGCGTACACACCGGTGCGAGGCTCTGATCGATACGACGTTCGTAAAATTCGATTCAATTCTCGGATCATTTCCGCGATGTCTATCAGCTCGCACCGGGTTGACGGCCGATGAAATGACGAATGACGGAGAGATAGAGAAGATGCAGCGTGTGTGTGTGAGAAAAAGAATAGGCCATCTCTACGGGCAGCGATCGGTCGTCGAGTCTTGACCGAGCGAGCGAGCGAGCGAGCGTAACGAGCATCAAGGATGATCCAACGTGAATCGCCGTGAAAAAGGAATCCGCTTAAATTTTCATGCTCGTTACATCCCGTCCCCTCCCGGTCCCGAGGACACGGACAACTGTCATTTTCCATGCAAGCCTTCTACCGGCAAAGAAAAGAATTCGTTCGCGCACCGATGAAAAAGTAATCCCCAGGCATAGAGCGTGCGTGGGCAGGCCGGAAGGCGCTACTGGCACTGGCATACTGGAAAACGGCGAGTCGCACGAAACTTTTATGCGATACGTGCCGTGCAAAAGCTCGAAGCTACCCCTGTCGATCTTGGATCCTTTTAAGTCCTTGCAATTTCGATTCTCTTTGCCCGAAAGGCAAACTGCTTTAACGAGGCATGAAAACTAGCTGGAAATATGAGAATTTCCATAGAGCATATCAAATTTTATTACTAAAGATCGACAGTCCTGCTTCTCGTGACTGTATCAAGCCTGGCGTAAAAAGGAAAGTACTGTGAAGGCATGCGTAACAACAGGAATAGAATAGTGGCTCGCTACTATAGAGATATGCTTGCTACGCCGTCAGTTTTTAGGCAATGTCGAGATGCGAGACCGTGCAGTGCGTGCGTAAAAATGACCGGCGCGTGCATTAAAAACAGCAACGGTGTTCGCAATTAATTAATCGGGCGCGTTAAACCCGTCCGACTGCCGCTCATCGCGTGCGATGATGGGTTACCGAGGTTCGTAATTAAATATACGCATTTGGATTTTACAAGATCCCGCGATTTCACCAATTGATTTTGTACGCGAATAACAACCGTTTGCAATTTTTACATCCGAATTTTTGCATGATATACGATACTTTAATCGGCTGATGAAAAATCCTGTCTGCGGCCGATATAAATTATTCGTTTCAATTTTCATGAATCCCCGATGGATGATTGAATTATCGCCAATTAAACCAAATTTCGATTTTGCATTACGATTAATGAAGTACGTATAAGAGCAATATGCGGGTATTTTATTAATATTTATATGTATTAATTATATATCAATATTCATTGGTCAGAATTAAAATGTTCCATTTATAATCTACGTTTTAAATGATTATATTTTATATCGATGTTCATTCAAATCGAGATGCGAGCGGCGAGAGAAATACCACTCGCGTCTGGCACGATACGCGGCTATACTACTGGCGGGCGTTTGGCTCGTCGCGAGACGTCCGATAAAGAAAATACAAATACGTATAGAATAAAAAAGAAGAAGAAGAAGAAGAAGAAGATGTTGGCGGTAGGAAGAAAACGTCGCTCGCGTGCCGTGACGATCGTATGTTGGCCATTGACTGCCCCAGTTGACGGTTTCTATTTCGAGCTGGCCTAGTTGCGACGCCGGCGAACGGCGACGCCGCTTGCTCGCCGCGTCGACGTCGTCATCGTCGGGCGTCGTTCGCGAGCGCACAAACCACACAGTGATTTCAATATTATTCTCCCCCGAGCCACGAGCGGGCTCGTTCGATATTGCGATCCCGTGGCAACTTGTCGCCCGCGCTTACTTCCACACATATATATGCACCTAGTTCCGGACAAACAATGCGCGAACGCGCGTTCCCGTCCGCGGTACCGACGTCTCGAACGTGAAAAACAATTGGTTCTTTTTCCAGTCTAAAAACTCCATTCCGCGCCGGCCCGGCCCACTGCTCGCGACCGCGCGACGAATTAAATGCCGGTTCGCCGAAATACTCGATTATAATAGCACGTCAAATCGGTTACTCGTACGTGTCGCTCAATTTTGAGCGACTGTTTCGACGTGTAATATGTATTTTAAAAGTAGTTGGATAACTACGTGGAAAGGCGAGGTCGTCGCCCCCGCGCGACTCGCCGACATCAAAGAATGATTTTTATCGTAGACAGGGTGAACACAGAGGACGGTAATGATGGTTTACATAAATCATTCGCGAAACGGTTTCTTTATTCATCGAGCGGGCAGGACGCGTCATTAAACTCCCCGCATATAATATACATGAAACACTCTGCCGCATAATAGGTACGCAGGTAGGTACGTACTTCGAAAATGCTCGATGCATTTGTAACGAAATACCGGGAGGAGACGGAGAGATTAATCTCGCAGATACTCGCGATTGTTAAAAAAGAAAAAAAATAGGAGAAAAAAAAACACGCGATGCGAGACAACGCGAGGAACGTGGACTGGAGGTGAAATAAAGCGAAGACACCTGACCTACATACGTCAACGACGACGCGACGCGTGCATGTAATCGCGGAGCGTTCGCGCGAAGCGCCACGACTTATTCCGCCCCGTATCGTACGTCCTTACGCTCTTTCCCGCCGTGTCCTTTATTTTTCCCGCGGAGGAGCGCCTCTAGAGGTTGTAAAGAAAATACGGCTGGCTGTAAACCAATGTACCGTGCTTACGTTCGAGATTCTCTTTGCCATATTTCTTATCAACTCTTCTCTCATTTAAAATCTCTAGAATTTCGCACGATGTACAGTGACGTTCAAAAGTTTTCGCTAGGACGAAGAAGTTTCTGTAATAATCCGATTCCTCCGACTTATACGTATTTTTAACAATTTTATTTATTAAG